TTTGCTTACCACCTTAATTCAAACCTTTGATTCTGTGCACAAATGCTGATCTGAACATAGAATCATTTCAGGAAGTTTGTTCACAAGTGTCATATTTCACTTCTTAACCATGCAGAAAGACGAAAAATCTTGTGACATACAACAAACTTCCTACTAAAGTGAGGGCCATACTCACCGAAATGATGAGCTCGACGTTCTAACAATTAATTAATGATGTGTTTGGTATGGAGAAATGTTATATACATACATATATATATATATATATATACACACACGTGTGTGTGCAGGGACGGATCAGCCCGGTCCAGCTCCCCCAGCCTACTGAATTTTATTTGTGTAAAAAAAAATTTCTTGTATAATTTTATTTTTTTACGTATTAGTGTGGCTTGTAATCCAGTTCTTGATCGGTCCCTGCGTGTGTATATTATGCACACACATAAAAAAGTAAGAAAAATTTAGTGGTTTGTTAGAGCTTCTCTAAAGTTATTTTTTGGAGGGCAAAATCGCTATTCGTTAATATTATGGATGTTTATTTAAGTCAACAAGTGCTTATTGACTAAAATATTAAAGTTGTTTAAGAGAAGCTATAATTTTTAACCTCTTTTAAAATGTTCTAAATTAAGCTTTTATGAGAAACAGAAATCTGTATATATTAAAGGGAAAAATATGTCATATAAACTGTTTTAAAATATATAATGGAAGTTCTGCACATCAAAGTTTAAATTTAAACGAATAAAATTTAAATATGATATATCAAAATAATTGTGCCATGATATGAAAATTTTAATTTTAATAGAATTGTAATATATTAAAATTATTAGGAAATTATTGATGTTTAGTCGAGTAAACATATAATTTATATAAATGTACTTTTTATAATTACGCTACAAAATAATCAATTTAAAGTTGACGGCACTGAAAACTGTCAACAACTTTTTATTAACGATTTTTTTTAAAAAATAATATACAACTAAAAGTTCTACCCACAAAATTTATGCCAAACGAACCTGTAATCCTAACCACACACTTCGTTTTAAGCTGTATGATTCTTGATTTCTCACATGGACAGTGACTTTCAGCTTGCCGCCCCAATAACTTGCATTAATGTTACAACATTTTTTTATGTTATTCTGTCACCAACACAATAATAATTTAGTATTTTGCTAAATATTAGACCCACTTTTTCACTAAAATAAATTCTAGCCCCCTAATTTGGCTGCATATCCATTTAAATTCAGCAACTCATTGGGCTTCTCAAGTGTCAGACTATTGGCCCATTGGGCCCAGCTGTCCATGCTGCCCACACATGGCTAGATGTACCCGTGTGTGGCTACAGGGGCACCACGTGGTGATACATTATGTTCATAAACATGAGTCATGAAATGAACATTCATAAAACTGTAAACGTATTCCTCTATTACAAAACGAGAAATACAAAGTTCACTTCCATCACATAGTAACGTCAATTATCATACATAGCATCAAATCGCAGTCTATAACTATACCCCCTCGATTTTGTCCTTTCTCCCCCTTGGTGGTCTTCTTGATTTGATGGTGTTTATAGAGCAGTGCGGTTATATCCAGTCTAGCTTTGGCAGCATCAAAATTCTTTGGGGCTATATCCCACCTTGAACCACATCTCTTTTGTATTCGGTTGCTTGACCTCGCGCATTAGAAAATAATATATTAGTTGAGATTAAACAACTATCTCGTGGCAATTAACATAATAGGAGAAGCATGTATCGACTAGGATCTTTTTTGTTCATCGTTGAACTTTGATGTAAAATTCGACTGCATATTTTTTGTTGCATTTATAGTAATTGTTCCGGAAACAATGAAGCTTCCACTATAATATATTCATATTCCAGCAATAGATGACAAAAATAACAAACATACATCAATATTCGATACTTAAAGATGCATTCATGTCACACAATACGAAGGTGACATGCAATTATTTAATCACAAACTCTACACGGATCACATATAAATCACAAATTATATGCAAAGATAGTCATATTACAACCACATGATTCGTCACACTATAGACATGTCACAACATAATGGGTCACATAAAAAAAAGAAAAGTAAAATGTGTTTCTAATTACAAAATTGGTCATAGTCCGATCATAAATCACAAGACGTGGCTGGTCACAAAAGATACCAAAGTGGTCACAAAATTATATAGGGTTGTACATATATTTTACAGGTTACATAATGCATTCATCTTGATTTCGGGAAATGTGAGTTTGACTCATTCAATGGTAGGTCATAACACGTCAAATTACAATATTTTTTTTTTTAAAGAAAATGAGGAAATTTTGTGACTACTCAAACCATAAACGCCCAATAAATTTCATATACAAATTCCCCATTAACTAAATTAATTACACTATTGATTTACTTTTTAAGAACTAGGTATTGGCGTTTTAGGGAGCTTCTATGACTTGTTTCAGGCCTTGAATTTTTGTGCACCTTTGTACTTTTTATTTTTCTCTAATTTTCTTCTAAATTTCTCACCAATCTTTGCACGAGGTTTCAGATCAATGCTCCTCATTAAAACCATCTTCAGGGTCGTGTACTGTCGAAGGGAAAAAATCAGCGAATGTGGAAATCATGTTTAGAATATGATGAAATTGGAATGTGAGTATAGAATGATAAAAATGGAGATTTGTTTTTACTAAACTTTTCAGTTCTATGGAGAAGACGAACGTGAAGTTGTGGAAGAGCAGGAAGTTTAACGTGGGAGGGTTTCTTTAGATCTCACGTAATTAGAGAGTTTAATTATGGATATGTATGTTTCTCTTTCCAGATTGATATATATATATATCTCCTCTCTCAAAAACATGGTATTTGTATTTAGAAAACATATTTAATTTATATTTATTAATTATTTTACAAAACATCTGATTTTTGAATTAAAAAACATAACCTATGATTTATGAAATGTAATATCCAAATATCTGGGTCTATGTAATTTCCACTATTTTTTATTTTAACCCACAAGGCTCCTATTGTCAAAGTTTGACGAATTATCGTGGCCGAAATAGGTGTCATAAGCCATAAGGGCGTCTTCGGGAATTGGAATATCTACTCCAATTTTGAGTAGGATGTGTTTGTTTCGTCCCAAAAAAAAATCACTTTTTTTAATAAAATAAAATGCTATTTCTTGTAAAGTACCCATTTATATATTTGAGATAAGTTGATAATCAACGAAAGGCATTTTATCCAATAAGTTCGATTTCAGATCTTGCTTGGACAAAATGGAAAATGTCAACAAATAAAAGTATGTCTTGTTAATTCACATTTTAAAAATATTTAGTGATAATCGAAATTGACCGTTTCATAGTCGAGGGACTACAAACTCAATTTTATTTAATTTTTACTAAGTGTAGCTCTCTTCAAATCATACTCTCCACAACAAGAGCTTCTAAGATAGAATTCTCTTTTAAAACTAGCTCATAAGCAAAAATTTCACATACAATACGAGATTCTTGATAGTAGTTACTTTCCCAGTTCACCCAAACATAACCTACAAAATGGAAAGTGGGACCGTAAAATTGCCACGTACGTTAGTTGGGTTCAGCAAGAAATAAATGATTTGACGTGTGAGAAAACATAGCAATAAAAATAGAAGTTGAAACTGTGTTAAGGCAGTGCCATTTGTTCATGTCAATGGATAGGAACAATCAACAATGGTATGGTCCTGCCGACTCATATCTACTTAAAATTACTACTTTATATTATTATAGAACCAATGAAAACTCAACACGCTCATAATTTGACAAAATTAAAAATGTATTTTCGTATGAAGGTATAAATTTGTTCAGATGATGCCGGCCACAAAAGTCGACTTCTGATATTATTAAAATCATGTTTGGTAGAGATTAAAATCAGATTTTAATTGATTTTAATAAAATTTAATGGAATATATGATTGAAAAATTATGGATCCTATGAAATGTGCACTCAAAATTAATTGTTGACTTTGACTTAAATTTTAATTATAATTTTTGGTGGTACCAAATAGGGTGCTAAAAATATCTTGTACGACTTTGGTGTCTTAGATCGAGCATTTTGCATTACTTATTTTTGCTGGTTTCATGAGCATAGGTGGGGGGTTTGAGCCGACCCCTACACTTTCTACACAATCAAGCAAATCGACAAGTAATGGAGAGAGACGTGATCTCTTTACCTGAACTCGTACGTCGGCTAAATAAGCAAATTAATACGTATCAAAGAGAGAAATGACTACTTAACCTCCAAAGTTACAAGAGAACAGAAAGAAAAAAAAATGATTTTCATAAGCTAAATTCAAAAGTGCCATTTTCATTGTTGTTCAGTTCAAAATTTCAAACATGTCATTCATATCGTTGCATGCCATAACTCACTAACGTTAAATTAACAAACCCTTCGAAGCATTCATACTGGATTATGATGACTCGTGTATATTTTGCACAATACATCATCTCGTGTCACTTATTATCTATTCGTGCCCACGCATTTTGTAAGGCTACACCCCCACACCGTGTGTGTGCATGCACACAAGTGTACGAATGGGTACGAGATATACTTCAACTTAAAGCTGATCGGCGCACAAAATCACTCTATAAGTTATGAGGCAGGCAAGCAAGAGTCAAATATTTCTGCTTCTGAACTCAGCATACACACAATGAACTTCCAAAAGGAATGGTATGGTTAAATGTCATATGAATAAGACCCCTTTGGCACTATCTATCCACAACTCATTGACAAATTCATATCTATCAAAAATAATAATGTTATGTTGATCTAAATCGTTCATCCATTGTTCTAGAACGCACAAACTGTGAATCACATCCATAAAGCTTTAAAACATCACAATCTCTTTCAAATCTTTCCAAAACATGTTACATCTTTCCCTCGAATCTTGAATTCAGTAGGCTCAATAATCAAATTCACATTAAAAACGAAAAAAGTGGCTTAAATCAACGCCAGCTAGAATTTCTAACCAGAATTAATTCAATAGCCCTCAATTGTTGACCCCAAAAATTGCTTCCTGTGGACGTGTGATCTGCATGAAATTTCCAACGTATTAGCATAGAAAACAGTAATTATTCACAAAGGTATCAACTAGAGGTCAATTCACTTCAATGCTTTACACAGATTACAGTTGGGTCCAACAAAAATCATCAGCAGCTTCATATGTATATCAACATCTACATTGCCTAGAACTTGTTTTAGTGAGAATTGTCAATTAATTGTGTTTAATTAATATAATTCCACCTGAAAAATTTTGAAATTTTGGATCTTTTGGTATTCGTTTGGTTTGTTTTCCATGAAAATTGTCCGGTAAAGAGGGTCACGTGGGGCTTAAAAAGGAAAACCAATTCCATGAAATTTTTGGCCAATTAAATATGCAATATCTTGGAAAATGGAAAATAATTTCCAACTTCCATGGAAAACAAACCCTATCAAACAGTGTCTAACAGTTCTAAAGAAGTTAACAAGCATATTGAAACAAAGTATGCCACATTATAGTGTTACCACCAAGCTATAATGCACCGACACGAACATGTATGTCTAACCCGCCACGCATCGGACACTCCCAACACAAGAAAAAAGTATTGACATGACACGTCATTGACACATTGATTAAATTCTTTAAAATTCTTCAATTATATTGTATAAATTTAGATTTATACTTGTTAGTAATTTTTCTCGTTAAAATCTTTTAAATATAAGTACCTATTTGTTATTTAATAATAATTTTGAGTTAAGAATATATAATACTTTTAATAAAGAAAGAAAAATGATCATGGTAGTGTGTCCGAAGAGTGTCGATATTTGATATGTGTCGGATACGGACACGCTACCCTAATTGAAGTGTCTGTGCAACACAACCACCAAGATTGAGATGGAATACACTACAGGAGCAGATTGCAAATTAATTTAACTAGAAAAACCAAAGAAATTTATCTCAAACTAACTTCTAAATAATATTAGTTTTCACTAGAGAGAGAATAACTATGAGGCTCAAAAATAGTTAGGGAGTGAAAACATAGGCAAAAGGGATGATTTGGAGATTAGACTCGAGGTTATGTCCGATATTTTCCAATTATAATAAATTCTTCTTCCATGCAATGGGGTCCAACTCCATTCAGATTCGAAAATATGTTACTGGGGCATCTAGTTTAGATAGGGATTGGTAAATGGTGGAGCCAAAACAAGACGGCAGGGTGGGATGGTTATAATTTTTCACGACTAGGCTCAAACAAGTGATGAGAGACTTGTGAATTAAAAAAACAAGCATTTTGGCAAGATTGGGGAAGTTAGTTAAATTGGAGGAAAAAGGAATTTGGAGGACACCTAGAGAGAGAGATTAAAACTGAAGAATGATTTTAATGAGGTTATGTTCAAGGAAATGATGTCTTGGAGGCAGAAAATTAAACCAAAATGGTATGGAGGGAGATACAAAATTCAAGATTGTTTCACATCACAGGTAGCGAGTTCAAGAAAAACTACAGTGTAAGTCATCAGTCCGGTGATTGAGGTGAGAAGGATGAGGATATTGAAAGAGCAACAATTTCTTTTCTTTAAAAAAAAATTATACTATAAAAATACAAATTAAAATTATTTAGATCATCTGAAAAGCATACATTAATGTACAGCATGCCTCACCAGGGATGTTATATTTACACTGTTACTGACAACTAGTAATTACAACCGCAGCAAGATTGTTGACAGCCTATTCTGGAGATAAAATTGATTGTATATGTAAGTTTTCATTTCAGTCTCATCACAATTTAACGGACGACATTAGGAACCTCTGATATTCAGGTCATGATAGAAAATATTTAAAAAATGAAAGTTCTACCCCGTGAATCATATGTTTCTATATATATAGGATTCAACATTCTTAAACAAATCTATTATTATAATCTCAGGGACAACTTATATCAAGGTCAAAACAAATTAGAACTTGCCACCATTGTATTAATCAAAACATAGAGAACAATTTACCTCTGCTCTTTGCCACTATTGATTGTTACTATTCTTAAGCCTTCAACTCAAAATTCTCTAGTAAAAATTTGTATAGCTCTTCTGCAACTATCTGGGGATACTCTTCTTGTGGCAGGAGAGCACCTGGTACTTCAATAAATTTGCTTACTCCTTTCGCTCCCCTAAGAGATTCCATTTCTGCTTTTGATCTTTTCGGTGCACTTGCAGTCGACATAACTAAGACTGGGATATCTCCTTTTAGTCCTGCAAATAGTTCAATGAATTCCTCCCTGGTGTTTACCGGATCGAGCAATCCGGTCAAGAAAGCAGCAGGCACATAGCGAGCGCCTTTTTGTTTCGTAAGTGCATATCTGCTCTCAACAATGCTAGGAGTTACATTTTCAGGATTTGCATATACGTGGGATTTGTACTGGGATTGGATTGCCTTCTCATTGCTGACAAGAACATTGTACATCATCCAACCTACAGCAGGGGCCCTTAAGGTCCCTCTTAGAAGCCCATACCTATAAAGTCGCAAGTTATAAGGGAATAAATAAGGTGGATCAATTGCAATAAACAAAAAGAATTGAAGTTCAGTATCATAGTTAAAGTATCCCCATAAGAAACTAACAGATCAAGCAAATGCACTGATGCAGTTCTGGATCCTTAAGCAAAATTCCAATTAACAGTCCAATAAGAAATTACAGGTACCACCTGTGAATATGATAGTATTTAGCAATCAGTCTAAACTAGGATCCTTTTTCATCCAAGGCACTAGTTTTCAAATATCAAGTTACTGGTTTCTCGCTGACCAGCATACTAATCAATGGCATACATCGGAACAAGGAAAAAAAAAAGCAAAAAAAATAAAAATGAAAGGTATCTTACAAAATGAAGTACTTCTTATAATAAACTTTTATTGTTTACTATCTAATTTATTATTATTTGTTAGTATAATGTATGATTCAAGGTTACCTCGATTCCATACTAGAATCTCTACCAAACACGATAGGAAGGGGACCGGCCCAGGTGGGTGCAACAGAAGCAATGGCCTTCGGCTTCACCAAACCCTTCTTTGCAGCACGAACTGCTATAGTTGCAGCATGTCCTCCCCCGAAGACCACATACTCATTATCTGAAGTATGTAACATATTAGCGATTGGAACTACTTGTGTGAATGTAGTTTGATAAAAATACTACACATAGCAAGTATTCATTATACACGTTGGTTGATGGAGGAGCTATATATGCAAGAAATTTATTGACTTAGTCTTGAATTGTAATGAAAAGTGTGCAGAATCAGTAATGCATACAAAGTATTGGTTAGGGGATCCACCAAGCACTAAAAAACTAAAAATCTTTGTCAAAATGATACTTATGAAGAAGGTAATGCATATACCAGCGTGCAAGTAAACATTAAGAAGTAATAAGAATTATAAAAAGAACAAAACATATTTTCTTTTATTATGTAATAGGTAAAGACAACATATTAGACTAGTCTATAGACTATGGGTAAAGAATCAGTAAAATATACTACCATAAATTTCTTATGGATCTCACAAAGAAGATTGTAGAGGAAACAAATCTTTCTGACAACATTCCAATTTTCAAGACTTGAAAGGGTAAATACGAAACTATAAAATTTTCAATGGAAGACATTCTGTTCTCAGTTCTACTAATCTAGAAACAAAATTTGAAGTCATTTGTGCAACACCATTAGCACGTACATTTTTCTCTTATATATGCTGAAATGTATCAAAATTAAAGGGGATGATTTCAATAATAGTCCAAAATTAATAAAGTTCCAATTAAGTACCAAATCTTTCTGAAATTTCAGGAAAGCTTCTCCTTACCCCCCACCCCCCAAAAAAATTCTAGACTCCACATCAGGGAGTACAAAAGAAAGCTACTCCCAACAGTCGAGAAAATTTGGCAAAGTATAATCACACAGATTAACATGAATCCACTATCCATTGAGCTCAACCCAGAGCTCTTTGTCAAACTAAACATTTTGTTTCTTCTTTAGATGTTGTCATTTACGGTTCAATTTGCCTCTGTCTACCCCTAACCCTACCATCAGTAGATAACAAGTTGCTTCATGTCAAGTTTTAATGGTCTTCAGTTCACACCATCTCAAATTGTTTTCTATTAATTGATCTCCTCTGGGTTTGACAAAAAGGATCATTCCAAAATCTGATTCTTTCTAATTCAATCATCTCTCATGTTACAGCAAATTCACAAGATTTTTTAGTATTATGGTGCTGCTTATGGTACACATGATTGACACAACCTATAGCTTATGAAACATAGATCCCTAACCACGGAATTCTACCAAAATATAACAGCAATTCATCAACTCCCTACTGTAAATAAAAAATTGTCAAGGAAAAAGTTACAAAGTTTAGTATCAAATATCATTAAGCATGGGTGGAAAAAATCTAGTAATTATAAGTCTAAACAACATCATTTAATTTACCAAGAATGTCTGTCATTAAAAAATTAAATTGCGTTGAATTATAATGCTAAATAAACTATTTACAACTTTTTCTTATGCTAAATGTTCTAATGCAAATAAATGATGGAAAATCAATTATCTATATTTTGGAAGTAGAAAGGACAAAAATATGCATATCATATATGAGCACACATCTATATATACATGTGCATGCACAACCCTTGTAGCACGTGTATATGACAAAAGAGTATATGTTCATGTCATTTTGAGAAAACATTTTCCGCTTTTTATACTCTATTATTATCTAAAATCCTATATAACTTGGAACCTTTATTCCAAATTACTCCATCAAAGTTCTAATTTGCAATTATCTTCCATTCAGTCTCATCAACTACAACAATAAGATCACCACCTAATATACAAAAGATACCTCATCTTGATTATGCCAACCAAGTTCATCAATTACTAAAATGAAAAAGAAAAAAGGAACTAAGGTCGAACCTAGATGTAAGCATATTGCAAACAAAATCACTATTACTACCCCCTTCCCTTTGGGCTTCTGATTGCTTCCACGTAGGCATTCATATTATTCTATCTGAATAGACGTAGAACAAGGTTGGTTCCACTGAGATTTCACATTAATTATATAAAGCATACGATTCAAAACAAGCAACAACTTATAGTAAAATCATGATACAGAATAAAACATTAAAAAATTAGACTCGTAATCATTGATTCAAGCACAAAAATCCTTCCACCTGAAGCAGAACTGGCAATGGGACTATCAGGGGCGCTGATGAAATCCACCAGAAACTTTTCCATAACATCAGCATTATAATCAAGCTTAGGCCTGTCAGAGTACCCAAGACCAGGCCAATCCACGATCGTAGCACTCCAATTGACTCCACCATTTTTCCCAACAATTTCTTCAGCCACGAGCCTCCATTCCTCAACAGTACTAACATCAGAAATAGTGGGCACCATCAGAATGTTCTTGGAGGGCTTTTGAGAGCCATCATTTTCGAATCTTTCGAAGTGGATGTTTACCGAATTGTCATTGAATTTCCATTGCCAGGTGCTGGAGTTGTTCTTGAAGGGTGATTTAGACGGGGTAGAGTAGTCAATTGATGTGGTGGCTTTGATTCTGAAGCTTAGGGGTTTGAAAATGGAAGGGGTTTCAGAAAGAATGGGTTTGTTGGTTTTGAAGGATACGGAAAGAGATGGTGAATAGAGATGAAGAATTGCAGAGGTCGCCATTGATGAGTTGGAGCTTCAAGCAATTGAATAGTGAGATTTTGGGCGAATATTCATTTGAATTTTTTTTTCTACAATTTTGAATTTTCATAGTTGAATTTTATGTGGTTAGGTGAACAGATATTTTTAGTTTTCTTCTTTTTCCAATATAAATGGAGAAGAACAAACTTAAAATGTCTAATATTTTACTTTAGTACTCCAAAAGCATGTCTAACAATATCTTCAAAATTATTTTTGTATCCTAATTTATATTTCGATAAATTTAAATTTAAATTTTGCTCTAATGAAAAGATCTAAATTTATTTTTTTACCTCTTATGAAGGTAAGATTTACATTTTTTTATATTTTCTGTCGAAAAATACAATTTGTTTTTCTTTGCATTTGTTTGGTCACATCAGAATTTTGGATTTATTTTACATCACACGATTGAAGATGTTCTAATGTGTTATTAATTACCATACATGAACATAATTTATTGAAAATAAATATTGTCCATTATAATTTAATTTGTCTAGGGCCCTGTTTGTTTCTGATTTTTAAATCAATTCTCAAATCAATTCCATTTTCAACCACACATTCTACAATAAAATAATATTTTCCATCACATCAATACTTTTTTCTTCTTTTTCAACCACACATTTCCCATAATATCACTATTCAAAATCAATTCTTCCCCCAAAAATCCCTACCAAACAGGCTCTAGATGTATAATCAAACATGGCCACTAACAAACTTTTTTAGCCCCTGTTTGAGACACATTAAAATTTTCATTCTCATTCATTTACCCATTTTCAAGAACACATTTTTCAATAAAATAATATTTTTCATCACATCAATAACTTTTCCTTCTTTTTCAACCACACATTCTTCATCAATTTACTATACCAAAATATATTTTTCCAAAATAATGTGGTTCAAACACACTCTTAACTCTTTTTTTAGGGCATGTTTATACAACTCAAAATATATACGTAAACCTTCTTTCCATTTTGTTTATTTGTTGATTTTCACTTTACTATATGCATTGTCTAGTATTCTTTAATCCATAATCGAACATATTGCGCTTTTCAAAATGTTTTGTCTAATTCAAGAAAAATAAAGATGGGTAGGCATGGGACGACGAATTCTAGAGATTGATCCATGATTATACTGATTAACTTTGGGTTAGAGATTGACGATTGATTGGGCAAGCTTTGACAGTTGGGGTGGAATACTCTAACCAATTCGCTCTATTGTTGCATCATATCTTTGAATGAGTTGTTGAAAACAAGACGCTTGGTGATACACATAAAAAGTAAAGGATTATTCGTTCTTTGGGATGGGCCTTTTGTACTGAAATGGGTATGAAAAAATTTAAAATGACAGTTATTCCACGCACTAAAATCTAATAGAAAAGATTCAATATTGATAGGTCATGTTTGAATCACGGAGCTCCTCCTATACTTTAAAAAGTTAAAATTCTCTAATCCTAGTTATTATCACAGTATCAAATATATATTATGCTAACTTAACTTGTTAAAATGCATTTCATTATAAAAATTCAAAAATTGCAGAACATTGTATTAAGAATGTATTTATTATTTAAAAAAAAACTTACTTTTAAACACAAAAAAAACATGTTTTATCCAAGACATAGAAGGCAAGAGGAAAAGACATTTCACACTGGTCTCGCAAATATTAGTAAAATTATTTGAAGGTTTCAAATTTTCACACTGGAGATGCCCATCCATGTAACTCACTACAGAATCATCTAACTAATGTGACATTGAATCAGTACCTTAAAACAAATTTATGTCACTAAGGTACATTACAGGCCTCCAATTTGCATATGAAGAAAAAAAAAATTGTGTTAACTTCCGCGCAAATAACATTTGCTACGTGCAGCACGTAAAGGGCAAGCCAATAGCAAATTTAGCTTCCACACTTATTTTTCTTAAGTAACACTATCCAATAGTCGACCTGTCGCATAGTATTTTCTGTGAAAAAATCATCAATAATATGCTATTCGAGTGCATTTTGACCTACACAGAATACACAAGGAGCCTACAGAAAAGAGATCTCACCTTCCATTGTTTGTTTGAAAGATGAGACAAGTCAGACGACTTACAGGATTGCAGGATCTACATGTTAACAAATGTTCAAATATGATAGTCGAATTTCCGACAACAGATCCATGATTATACTGATTAACTTTGGGTTAGAGATTGACGATTGATTGGGCAAGCTTTGACAGTTGGGGTGGAATACTCTAACCAATTCGCTCTATTGTTGCATCATATCTTTGAATGAGTTGTTGAAAACAAGACGTTGGTGATACCCATAAAAAGTAAAGGATTATTCGTTCTTTGGGATGGGCCTTTTGTACTCAAATGAGTATGAAAAAATTAAAAATGACAGTTATTCCACGCACTAAAATCTAATAGAAAAGATTCAATATTGATAGGTCATGTTTGAATCACGGAGCTCCTCCTATACTTTCAAAAGTTAAAATTCTCTATTATCACAGTATCAAATATATATTATGCTAACTTAACTTGTTAAAATGCATTTCATTATAAAAATTCAAAAAATGCAGAACATTGTATTAAGAATATATTTAGATTGTATTTATTTATTTTTTTTTTAAAAAAAACGTACTTTTAAACACAAAAAAACATGTTTTATCCAAGACATAGAAGGCAAAAGGAAAAGACATTTCATACTGGTCTCACAAATATTAGTAAAATTATTTGAAGGTGTTCAAATTTTCACACTGGAGATGCCCATCCATGTAACTCACTACAGAATCATCTAACTAACGTGACATTGAATCAGTACCTTAAAACAAATTTATGTCACTAAGGTACATTACAGGCCTCCAATTTGCATATGAAGAAAAAAAAAATTGTGTTGACAACTTCTGCACAAATAACATTTGCTACGTGCAGCACACAAAGGGCAAGCCAATAGCAAATTTAGCTTCCACACTTATTTTTCTCAAGTAACACTATCCAATAGTCGACCTGTCGCATAGTATTTTCAGTGAAAAAATCATCAATAGTATGCTATTTGAGTGCATTTTGACCTACACAAAGAATACACAAGAAGCCTATGGAAAAGGGATCTCACCTTCCATTGTTTATTTGGAGGACGAGATGACCAACAGGAATGCTGGACCTACATGTTAACAAATGTTCAAATAATATGACATCAAAATGACACAAAGTAGTCAACATTATAGTTTTCAAATGATCACGATCATATATTTCCCAAAACTTTGATTCGTAGAGAAGAAGCTTACCTGTATCTTGAAGCACTAGGACTCGGAATGGTCTTTTGCTTCTGTTAACTAGGTTTGCACAAAGTCTGGTGTTATAGATTAGAAGAAAATGAAGTACAAAGAGAAAAGATGAATTTAAGCATAACACCCACATGAATGGATAAATTGGAATTGTCAATCAACTGCCAACATTCTTTCGCAAGGTCTAATATTTCTTTGTCACCATCATCGTAGAATACCTAAAAGAAGTCATGAAGTAGCATTACTAAGTGGGTAAATGCATTTTTAAACCCAGAAAATGAATAGTCCAAATAAATTTGTTCGATGATAAACTAAGAATCTCCACAAGTTTCAATCTTTACCTACCTTGTGCTTCCTTCTCAAACTGTCGAAAGATTCAAATGTTCCTTCATAACACCTACAAAATGAGACTTTAGATATGAGGTCACATTATCCAAGAACTTGATTCATAAACATGACGAGCACCAACAGAACTCGAAAACTATTGAACCATCAGAGATAATGAATGACATTTAAAATAGTAAAGCACTTTTTTCCAATGCGAAGGTGTGGAATCCATCAATATATCCTAGAAAATACGTAATATTTTGCTGACATCCAGTTTCATTTGTTAAAGTTTATCAACATTAATCACAAGGTCCTTAAAATCAAAGCCCCAAAATTGCTCGTGACCTCCTATTTGAACCTCCTGTTCAACGAAAATTCTTCACACACTAGTTTATTTCGGAACTTTAATTCTTCCTTATTTTGGAAGGACAAAAAAAATACGCCAATATCCATTCAATATCAGCTGTTTGGATTTGCTTTCTGAATATGGCATTCCTCCCATCAATTCATATATGGAATATTAACAAGAATTAACAGTAATTTATAAGCAGATAAATACTCACATGTTGGCAATTAACTTCCACGTGGATGAAAACTGTTAGCAAAATTGAGAGGATGGAGAAGAATAAAAAATAAATAAAAAGGGGAAAAAGGAAGGCTTTAACACGGGATTTACAGTTGTCCTAAAAGCAATATTTTCCCCTTCTCAGAATTTGAGATAGTCTAAGGGATACACCAGCAAATATCTCGAGATTTAACAAGCCTTTAATGAGTTTGCACAAAGCAAAAGTGAAAACTCAAAAAAGGATTAAGGGTTTGTAAGATTTGGAAGATGAATAATATCTATATTATGGTACGTCTTTAGCCTTTTACGTTCCATATTTTCATTATCCACCAAATAATAGCATTCTGAACTTCAGGATATTTCACACTTTTCAGCACAGTCGCCATCACATGCCCAGACACAGCAGTATATGCTATTCTTCCTTTGGCATTTTCAAGTTTCCTCATGTATTTATGTCCAGTAATTGCCAGCTTCCAAGCTTGTATCTCTTTACCTAGTTGTTCTCCATGGAAATCACAACAATCACCAGTAATCTCTGCATGAGCAAATACCATTCTTGAACGTGTGAAATCGACTTCTATCTCTCAACACGATCTCTAATCTATAAACCTTAGAGATCAATTTCATAATGGTATGGCAATCTTTGCAAACCCTCAAGTTCTTAAATATTCTTATGATGCTTCCCTCACATAATCTGTCCATACCAAAAGCAACAGCTAGCTTCTCGCTGTGTGTAATAACAGCATCTTCCTTTTCTTCCTCTTCAATATCATGCAAAACGCTGCCAACTTGAGGAACGTAACCTCCTTCTACTCTAAGTTTCAAAATTAT